ATCGGAATCTATGTCTTGGGTGATTTTAAACCTTGAAGAATATGAACTTAGGTAATATTTAAGAGTAACGGTGAGTTGGGTTGAGCCGTGTTAGTGCGCTTTAGTTTGAGGTTACTTAGTTCTTATTTTTTTTTAGTATTTTTAAATTAGTTGTGACGTGTAGTTTTTATACTTGGTTCAGGCCACTAGTTGGAATTTTACACTCTATACGAGGATTATATTATTTCGTTTTCAGGTGAGTAGTTTCATGCGACATATTTTTATAAATGTTCCCCTACCCTGAACTGTTGGAAAATTAAATTGTTGTTTCATGATTAAACTGTTTTGATAAATTATTATATTATCAATTGAATCAAATTATTTCTGAAACATGTGTGAACTTGGCATACTGTAAACTATTTGTTTTGGTCTCATGTTTATAATGATGAACTACCATGTTTTGCGAAACTGATGTGTATTGATTATTGGGTCCATGTGTGTATTTAGTCCAGGGAAATTATTCCACTGTGTGTGGTGACTCTGGCCACTAGGGAACAGATCCGGGTTGGGCCGTGATGACTCTAGTGCTCAACGATTGTAAGGAACAGACCTTTAAAAACAACTAGGTGACCTTCAATCGGATCGTCTTTGAGAAAAGGCCCAGGTGCCACCCTGAGGATGACTCTTAGTTCGGTATTGGATCCAACGGGGCTTATAGCCTGAGAAATGTGTGGCAGATTATTTGTTTTTATTGGTACCCAAAAAAATCATTGGTGAGGTGCAATCCGTTTTTTTAGGTGGAAAGAACATACTTGATGGGGTTTTGATTGCCAATGAGAGAGTTGATGAGTGGCGAAAATCGAAGAGTAAAGGTATAATTCTCAAATTAGATTTTGAAAAAGCGTTTGACTCAGTTAACTGGGAATTCTTATTTCCCATTGTGAGAACACGAATATAAAAATTTAGTAAATAATTAAATAATAATATTACAATCTCAAATATTTTGGTGGTGAATTCGGTGACTCAATTGCATGGACCTCTAGGGCATTCCTTTAGTTTAGAGTGTTATGTCAAGTTTGTGCATATTTATATTTATTCTTATCGAAGTTCATTTAGGATTATTTTTGATATGTGGGTTGTTTATATCCCATAAGTTTGGATTGTTTTTGATTACGGTTGATTTTGCCGTTTATAATTGTGACATGTCTGGATTGAGTTTTGGTTATTTATTATTGGACTATTGTTCAGTTGTTCAATGTGATTGGATTCGTGTTTAGACTTACGTGTGCCTTGGGCTAAGTTCTTGTGGGCCACGGCCGGTCATGCCCGGATTTGGGGTGTGACAGCTGTCTTCTGGTAGCCTTTCGAACCAGGTTAAGCCTAAGTCGCCAAGGCTGGATGGGAATAGAATGCACATCAAAGCCTCGTTCCGCCGGTATACTGCTATAACCTGGCGAAAGTGGCTTGGGTGCATGTAGGGATCTGTCTTCCCTTCGTTAGTCGTAAACTTAGGCTGGAGGAAGCCGGAAGGTAACGGCGCGTTCTCAATTGCCAGAACGAACGGCGAGCTATGCAACCTTGCTAATGCTTTGTCCGTTGGTTCGTAGGCAAGGCGCGGTATTGGCATTCCTACCTTGACACTTCCGTGTGTCCGAGGAGCCAACCGCTAAAGGGCTGAAAATCTGCGCGGGTCGCGTGCCCTGACATCCCCCTTCCACCGTGCCCTTTGTTCAAGCACAGTTGACAAATCAGACGATCTAGGCAACTCCGTCTGCCTGGATGACGTCTGGCGCGTGCGCGAGGGCCGATAGGTGCTTCCTTCAGTATATGACCTCTCAGTTCTCGTTCTCTTAGACCTAGAGTAACGAGTCCTGGACGTCCTTGTTTGAGTGTCGCCTGTTCTAAGGCTCCTACTCTCTACTTGTGATGGCGTGGTGTGTCTACCACGACCTTTCGAGTGGTGAAGGGGCGTACTGCCTTTGCGCCCTTCTCTTGTCGTCATCTCTTTTCCTTTTATCTGGCACTTCATCAACTCCATGTCCGCCGCCATCCTTCGTATCAACTTATCATGTTCCTTCACGCGATCCTCCAGAACCTGAGGGTCAATCCTCCGCCTCTACCTTTCGGGACTTTGAGAGTGACGGGGGCTGTTACTCCGCCTTCCCCTTGCATCTCTCCGGGGGTTCTGTCGCTGGTGCTCTAAATCTGCTATGGGAAGGATAGAAGGCAAACCTTCGCGCTTCCCACCCCCCTCTGGGGTTTGTCCGTCGATAGCGGACTGCAGTAAGTCTTTATTGTGCGCCATTGATCTCAACTAGAGAGGAAAGCTTGATCAAGAGGTTTTGTTCTTTGTGGAATTCCCACAGACGGCGCTAATTGTACGAGCACGAAATAATTCTTCTCGTTTGATCTTATTGATCAAGCTTGCGCTCCTCAAAACGTCATCGCTTTGCCACCTGAGAACACAAACGTGAGCTAACCGGCGGGTGTGTGCCGGAAACCCCTCCGATGCCTAAGTCAGCACAATAGACAATAGACACAAAAGCTCTGTGAATTTAGGAATCAAAGTTGTGTTACCTCTCCATAGGTGATGTTATGAGCCTTTATAGGTTTCGCGTGGCACAATCCTAGTAGGACTCTTATTCCTCCATGTAGAGTCTTACTAGGAATCACACTTTTAAAAGCTAATGCTTATCTCTTAACACCCCCCTCACTACTTAAACCAAGTGAGATGGTTTTACCTCGGTAGTATGACAAAATGACCGAGCTAACATGACCATGATAAACTGGCAAATGTGACCGAGCTCTAACTAGCTCGGTTCTTCCCTTCATAGCTTGTACCTCGGTTTCACCTGTTGAGACCGAGCTAACCATAACAAGCTTGGGCTGAGCTAATCTAGAGCAAGGTCGTGAGGGAAGCTCAAAACATTTTCGCCCAAAATGGTATGACCGAGCTAATTGCTACCACTCTGACCGTGGTGACCGAGCTAACTTCAAGGCTCTTTTTAGACCGAGCTAACTACAAGGCCCTTTTACTTAGCCCTTTCTTACTGCGGTCCACAGAACGGCCCATTACCTAGCTCGGCCCAATTTACTTGTAAATTACCCTCTCAGATCTTGATGAGACTGTAGTTTGGATAGAGGAAGTTCCTCCTTTCCTTGCGCAGCTTGTGTCGTCTGAGGCCTCTGACTTTCATTTGTAATTTCTTCGTTTTGGCCTTTTTCTATCTATAAAACAAGAAGACTAATAACTACCCATTTTGAAGACCATGAATGGTCCAATGGCCTTGAGCCGACCCGTAGCACTATCGCAATAACCTAATTAACACAACATCTCATCTTTGGAATAAAAATAAATAAATAAAAGATGACTGAGGATTTATGGAGAGAAATAAAAAAAAATATATATATATATATATTGAAAAAATAAATGAATTAGATGTTATTTTTTTACTATTTTTGTTTTTCTTTTCTCCCCAGTAATTCTTAATCCAAATCAGAAGTTTTGTACTACTGGGCTTTCGCACTGGGTCATAAAAAAAAAAAAAGCACAAAAAATCTGGCAACCAAAATGATTACGCCAAGGCCCAAAAACCTACTAAAAAGCCGAACCAAGCGATAGTTTGGCAATAGCCAAAGGCCCACATATGATACCAAAAAGCCTCGACTCATCGAGCCCAAGAAGAATTTAAATGTCGATACCAGTTCTCCCATTAATTAAAATCTTACTAAAAACATATATGTCCAAACATCATTGGATGGTTAAATATTACTGTTCACATTTGGCTTCTTATATTTTTAATAAGATTTTTATTAAAATTATTAGTATGTGTTGAATTATTCTTAAAATAAAATTTTGTCAAACTATTGTCACGTATTGATTTTAACTTTTTGAAATTAAATTGAATAGAAATAAAAAGTATCTTAATGTATTTGTAATTGCTCAAATTTACTCTAAATTGAAGAAATACTTTGATTTACTATATATGAAACAACCAATTCCAAAAGATTATTCTACGGGTTGTGTTGTCTCATCATTGGAATTTTCATCAAATTATTTCTTTCTATGAATTTTATCTGCTATGATTTTATCTAAAAAAATAAAAAAATAAATAAATAAACACATTTTGATTGATCTATATATCATCGATTTGCTTTTATTTTGATCGTAAACTTTTTTACTAACTGAATTGACAAAAATAAAAAATAAAAAATATATATATATATACTGCTAAATATTCATGTCTAATAAATGGTCAGAAAATTTAATCTTATCTACTGTTAAAATGTTAATCCACTTCATTTCATATGATCACTTATTTTTGCTATTTGCAAAGCATCCTTTATTTTCAGAAATGTGAATTCTTTTTACTTTAAAGATTTTTAATACGAGTTTCTTAACATATTTGTGATAACGACAATGCTACGTAGCTCAAATTTTGTGGCTCAAAAGTGGCTCAAATGACCAAAACGACGTCGTTTTGAGTACAGAACAACATTCAAATGGCCAAAACGACGTCGTTTTGGCCATTTGAGCCACTTTTGAGCCATAAAATTTGAGCTACGAAACATTTTCCTTGTGATAATGAGTTAAGTGTTGTTAATTATGTGTCTTCTTGAAGAGTGAAAGCAAAACACGACAATTATACATAGTAGTTTTGGGAATCAAATCAATACTTGTTTCTTTAATTGTGCCACACTTGTAGTTGTTTTCATTTTTTTTTTTTTTTTGTTTTGTAATGGTAGACAAAAAGTCAAAAATATTATAATAATTAAAAAATATGAAATGAATATAACAACACAAGCTAATCTAACAACTAATCATTGTCTTTTGTTGATAAAATAAAATAAAAAGAAATAAATAAAAATATTTATCACAACACAGGCTCAGGTATTAACCGAAGAAACCAAAAAATATATATTTATTTAAGTTGTGTTTGAATCATGAATTTAAATAAGAATTTATGGAAGAAAATGAAAATGAAGGAAAAAAGTGACAAAAATTAGCTTCCATTTTTGTGACTTTTCCATTCTCTATTCCTTTCCATCCATAAATTCCTATTCAAATCTAAAATCCAAACACAGCCTAAAGAAATCAATTATCTTCTTTCAGGGTTGCTTTGCAGCTCTAGCTTTTGAGTTTGAATGACAGAGTAGCTTGATCCTTGACCAGCATCTCAATATCCTATAAATCACAGAAATGGAATAAATAAGAGATGCTTATCTTTCTACAGTTGAAAGTGTGATCAACATTAACATAGGCTTTGCAATCAATCATTTAAAGGAGAGTTGGCAAAAGAAAAAGGGAATATATAATAATCATGTTTGAAATCAATCATCTTCTTGCCTCATTAACTAACACCCATGATTTTTATCAAAACTTTACTTTGTTGCAAATGAAGAAACCTCTACATACGTGTCTCTATACTCAAAAGCCATGCTTAAAGGTACGTTCCAAGAATATAAGAATTGTTCATTAAAAAGGGAAAATCAAATTAAAAATCGAAAGATCACATACTTTTTTGTCAATCCTCTTGCTTTCTTGTTGTAGCAATTCATGTTGTGCCGATATGGATTCGACATTGGATATAAACTGTCTTCCAGAATTGGGTCTAGCAGAATTGAGAAGATGGAAAGTAACAATTTCTCTGTGGTCAGTGCAGAACTCCATTGATCTCCTAGTATGTTGATTTGAATTGTGCCATCTACACCTATATTTGGATGACAAACCTGCATATCATACCAACCCACTATCAACTTTGTTAGATTGATATATATTGTTTGGTCCATTTGCTAACAATTTAAGTTTTTTTTAAGACGATTGGTGATCTAACATGGTATGAAAGCTCTAGTTTCTGGTAGTCCTAGTTTTAATTCTTGTCTTCCTTGCTATCTTTATCATTATGCACTCTTTTGGTTATCTCTATTCTCTCCACGTGCAAAATATAGCCACATATGAGGTGAATGTTAGTGCTAGAGCTATGGAACATTTGTCCTATATTGCCACCGTCCATATACTTTAGAGGCCCTCCACAGTTCCACTCAACAAACAGTTGATTTTGTGTAAGTCGCCTCCACAAAAATCTCACAAGTTTCCCCTGGTTGGTTGAGGGATTTGCGAAGGAAAAAGGAAAAAAAAAATGTGAAACCTAAAGATTTTAGGTTTTTAGGTCTCACAAAGATTTTAGGTCTAACACACACACTTCTAATAAAATTTATGTTTTATTCACGTTTCAACTCCCTTTCCATTTCCTTTCTAAATCTCTTCCCCAATCCTCCAACCAAACACAGATACAAACTTAATCCATATAATTTGTATGCCCAACCACTCAATACCAATTGATTTTGAGGTGAATATTTTCAAGAAATCTAATAATTAGTTAGATTACCCTTTTGGAACAATTGATGATCTAACAAGCTCATTACCAAATCAAAATACAATCAACATGAGAGTTTGAGATAAAACTCCAATTAATATCAACTAAACTGCTTGAATAAGTATCAAAACTCAAAATTCAACGGTGATGATCAACATCTGGTGATGTAGTAGTAAGTACCTTGGTTAGGAATTTTACTGTTGGAGGCTTGAAAGGGTAATCAATGGGAAAATGGATGGAAAGGGGAAAGAGAACACCTTCCAAAGGGGTATCCACGGGCCAATGATGATGCCTTGCCACTGAAACATGTTGTCATCACTTAAAGGGCCAAAACTGATGTGTGTTGAGGGGTTTTCATTGATGTCTCTGAGCTCCCTTTCAAGTATTTTCCTTGCACAGCTCTGCATAGTCTCTGTTTCCATGTTTTCCCAATTGGTGTGTGTGTGTGTGTGAGAGAGAGAGAGAGAGAGAGAGAGAGAGAGACCTAAAATCTCGTAGCTACAGTTGGGTTTGTTGCAGCAGAAGTTGATGATCTTGAAGACGGTAAAGAAGCATATAGAGATAAGAAAGAAAGAACCATCATTAGATGAAAATTTGGAGAGAGAGAGAGAGAGAGAGAGAGAGAAGACTTCACTCAAGTCTTCTGTAAAAATGACGCATAAGTTGATACCGTTTGGGAAGCGGTTATTTTTTTTTTTTTTTTGGTTATTTTAATTACAAAAAATAAAATAAATTATTTTAGTCACAACAAATAAAATATTACATTTAATTCATAATCATTATACTCTTTTCTCACAAAAAAATTAAAAAAAGTAAAAAAGCCAAAAAATTCTTTCCAAACTAAATTTTTTAACCCAAATTAAAATAATCAAAAAAATTAAAAAATTAAAAATTCAACCAACTTCCCAAACCAAGCCTAGTGAAGTCTTTTTTGTTTGTCAACAGCCAAGGCGTGTAAACAAATAAATAAATAAATAAGGATAAATTACGCTGACGTTTTTAGATATTTGATTCAATTATATTTCATCTCCCAGATTTTAGGAATTATATTTTTATATTTATGATTAATAGTTTTGTTTCACAAATCTTCTATTTATATGAAAAACAACAATTTTTAGTAGAAAAATAGAATAAATTACATTAAAAAAAAGTGAAGTAAAAGGAAGGGAAAAAAAACAGAGAAAATAAAGCAAAGTAAGAAAGAAGAAAGTGCATAAGTTTAATATTTTCATTCCGTCTAAATAATTACAATAACAGAGGGTTAGTGTAATTTTTCAAACGTTAAGAATTATATGTATTAAATTCAAATATGAGAGGTGTAAGTATAATTTACCCAATAAATAAAAAGGGAAATTGCAAATAAATGGATTGGACAAAAAATAATTGGGAAATAACTCCATAGTTTCTAAATCATAACTAAAAAAAAAAAAATTTTTTATCCAAATACCACCACATGAAATATAATTAAAGATCTCATAAATTATAATTAAAATAATATCATAATTGAAGAAGAAAATTTTTTATAACTAAAGAAGAAAATTACATAATTAAGGGTATATATGACACATGAACACCCCTTTCAAGGGGTGTGTATAGTAAAATTTTCCAAAATAATTAGATGTTAGTGCAGAATCTAAAAGAATTACAACAATGAACATTTATTCATAAATCTCTCTTCACCTACTTATATTTTTCAAATTATTTTCTTATATTCCATAAGTCCTATGGTGATATAATTATCAAAATATTCCTAATAATAATAAGGTGAAGTGCACATTAATATTCACATTGACAATGTGAATGTTCTGTCAAATTTATTTAATGTGAATGTTCACATCATAAAATATTCACACTATCAATGAGAAAATTTACATTGTCAAATTTATTTATTTATTTTTATTTTATAAAATTGCATATTCAAGTGAAATTTTATTTGATAGTCTAAAATAGTGCACATCAGGTTGCTAAAGGTTCAAAAAAAATTGGTAAAGATAAAATTATCTTTGAAATACTTTAAATATGGTAATTGAGATTTAGCAGATCAAATGTCCAAATAATAAGATTTGTTAAAATATAAAAATATGTTATAAACTAATTAAGATATAATTACATAAAAGAGGATAATCTAATAAATTCTCCTTATAATAATGATGAAAAGAATGTAAATTAACTCAGTGATAAGAAAAATCCATAAAATTACTAAATTACCCTTGAAATTCTCTCCTCTCTCCCTTTTTTTTGCAAACCTTAAATCCAAATCATGCCAAGGGGTTTAAACATGATTAACTTCACTTTGACATAATTTTTGGGAAAATGTTTTGTGGCCCGAATCTGCTTGCCCCGAATGCCCAAAACGACGTCGTTTTGGGCATTCCGTTTTTTTTTTTCTTTTTTTCCGCCATTTTCAACCTCTGCAATGCAGAGGAAGAGGGAGAGAAAGAGAGGGAGAGGGAGAGGGAGAGAAAGAGAGAGAGAGGTCGCGTCGCCTGCGCCGATCGCCGCCGATCGTGTCTGCCTCGCCTCAGCCCCTCCTCCTCCATTTTTTAGGCCCCCTCCAGTCCTTCCTCCCCTCCCTCTCCCCCTCCCCCTCCTTCCCTTCTTTGTCTTCCTCATTTCTTTTCAAGGGGCATTCGGGACGTCCCGTTTTCGGGCCCCCAATCACTACCGTAATTTTTGTATGTCTCATATTCAATTTTTCAAAGAAAGAAATACACTTGGAATTAAGCGGTACATAAAAGTGATTGTATGTATCCAGTAAATCACTTTTCACTTTAAAGTATTATCAATTTTTATAATTTTTACGTTAGCCCTTGAAGATTTTTTTAATCTAATTCTTAAATATTGGATTTTTACCGATGTGGAAAAAATATAATACTTAAAAATGTGAGAAAAGTTTCATCACCACGTTGCATTTCTGTTGGAAAATTGGACAGCAGTTACTAGCTGGATTACATTGACAAAAATTCAACAATTGGGAGGTTAAATTGAGAAATTTTAAAGTTTAAGAATCAAAAATAAAATTGAGTATTATTTTAAGGATGCAAAGCCTAATTTACCCAAAAGAAAAATGGAGAAAATGGTTTTGATCACACACTAACAAGCCTCTATATGTATCACTTATATCTTCTCAATTTTACTCAAATAGTTCAAAATGCATCTTATTACATCCGGAAACAGAGGGATAAAAAAACTAGTTCCAACTAAAAAAAGACAGAATTACCCATGAAACTTTGAAGCAGTTAACTCAATCTTGATTTGCATCAAAACTTTAAATCAACTAATATCAGCTTTCCTCTATACATTTCTCTGCACTCAGTGCTTAGCAACTATCACATGGTATGATTGTCCAAGCAAGGGGAGATTAAAAAAAAAAAAAGAAAGTAAATTAGAGATTGGAGACTTGATTTTGATTGCCTTCTTCTAGAATTGGGTTCATGAGAATTGAAATGATTGAAAGCAACAATTTTTCTGTGGTCAGGGCTGGGCTCCATTCCTCTCCTAGTATGTTGATGTCAATTGTGCCATCTTCATCTACATTTGGATGATAAACCTGCTTATCATACCAACACACTATCAAAAACAGTAATAAAATCAAAGTAAAATCAAGATCAAACTCTGTTTGGTCGTGTTTTAGTTTTACATTAACAAAAGGAAAACATCGCGTTGTGATTTGTTCTGTGATTGGAACTATTCAATTTCTGTATAACAATTCAAAAACAACCATCATTTTCAAAATCAAAATTTTGATATTTCCTAAAAACTGAGCTGTTTTCAGCAACAATTCAGGATCACTAGTATTTTGCACTTTCCAAAATTAATAACAGAAACACAACCAAATAGGCAAACAAACCAGAAATTTTATTAAGATAATCAAACACAAGCAATATGCTAACTAATTGATTATCTTAATAAAATAGGTGAATGTTAGTGCTAGAGCTATGGAACATTCGTCCTATATTGCCTCCAAAAAAATCTCACATGGTATCCAAGTTAGGTCTTGGGGGTCTCGTGGGCTAACTCTTCATCTCCAATTTGTTTCTCGTGTCTCTAATTTATTTTTCACCTCCCCATCCAAACAAGTCAGATCTGCAGGGAGTATTAGACACTTGTCTCACAACGTTTCCCTAACGCACGCTGTGTTTGGTTGAAGGATTTGGGAAGGAATTTGAAAAGAGAAAGGGAAAAGATGTGTGAAACTATGTGAAATATAGGTTTATTCACATTTTACCTACCTTTTTCATTTCCCTCTTCAAATCCCTCAACCAAACATAGCATATGAAAGACAAATATTGAAAGATAAATTATGAAAGACAAATTGAGAGAGTAATATTGAAAGAGAATTGTAATGTAAATTCTCAGTAATGAATTCATGCTGCGAGGTTCCTTAATATAGGAGTTTGTTACAAACATGATGATGATACCTTTGAATATAATAAGGACAAAAGTGGCCGAAAGATGGCGCACCACCGAAAGGGAATTCTATGCTGGTCACTATAATATAATAACTTATATTGTATTCATATACAATTATATACCATTATATTTATATATTAACAGCCCCCCTCAAACTCAAGGAGGACAAACATCGACCAACTGGAGTTTGGAGACAAGTTCAACGAAGCGGCCAGGAGAATGGGCTTTGGTGAAGATATCAGCAGGTTGATCAGCAGAGGAGATGGGATGGAGATGGACAGTACCATGAGTGATGTGTTGACGAACAAAATGACAGTCAATCTCAATGTGCTTGGTGCGATCATGAAAAACATCATTGTGAGCAATTTGAAGAGCACTTTGATTGTCACAAAAGAGGGCAGTAGCGCCAGAGGGGGAAACACCCATGTCAGCAAGAAGCCAGAGAAGTTCCTGAGTAGTATCAGCAAGAGCACGATATTCAGCCTCAGTACTGGAGCGAGCAGTAAGAGATTGTTTCTTGCTGCGCCAAGTATACCTTCTGAGCCCCATATCCACTCCCTGTCATCTCCTGACACGTGGCTCTGCTATCCCATCTGTCAGCATAAACCATGCCATTCATCACCTGCTCTCAACTGCCTGTCAGCACAGCTGGAGCTCGGCAGCCGAGCTGCCCTACCTCGGTCGTACCATGCTTCATACCTTAAGCGCCTAACCGGATAAACAAACGGAGGACCGGGCTAAGCGGCATCCCGGCCGAGCGTAGCCCGGATACTTACTTCGATCGGCCTTCCTGCCGACCATACAGTCTCCTCGGCTGAGCACGCCTTTCCGGGCACCGGCCACTCAACTTCCTCGGTTGTCCATGCCTTCCTGGGCGCCGGTCACTCTGTCAATCCGGC